TCGGCACGCAGACGCGCGAACTCCGCTGGGTCAACTTTGGGCTCAGTCATCCTGTCAGGTTCGTTGGCAGATCTGAAGCGTGACCGAGAGGTCTGTTGCCCAGACGCGGAGAGACGGAGATAACCGGTGTGGTTATTTCCTGTAGGTGTAGCTTGAGGGTTTAGAGGGCTGGTAAGCCTGGAGACTCGATGCAAAGTCTGGTGAGAACGATGACTGAGCAATGAATGAAACGCCGGCACTTCCTTAAGTAGTGTCAGCGTGATGACGTCAGTCGCCATGTTAGTGGCAGGAATGAATGGAATGCAGTCAGCTGGAGTAGTTCGTGACAATTATCACTGCTCACTTAAATGATGCCATTGGACCACTTTCCGAATGTCAGAGAACCCGAAAGTGACAAACACCTCGGGTCCGCAGTGACCAGAATCTCATATTTGTGTCTTATTGATGTTTTATTTATTTATTTATTTCCTTGTCAACAAACTCTTTGTTAACGTCACTGGACTTTTATGTGACAACCATCTCGGGACTACAGATGGAAATTAGCCTTAGGCTACAATCTGGTGTGTTTACATTCATGCTATCCCTACATGTATGTTCATTAACACTGTCCCAAATAAAATATTCATTCATTCATTCATTCATTCATTCATTCATTCATTCATTCATTCATTTATTAAATGGTATTAAATGTCTTGATATTATCTCTGAATCATAGCCTTTTCAATACATACTGTCAGTATTATTATTATTATTGGTGTATATGTAAGAAAACATCCATTTGCACAAGTCCGATTGTCTATCTATTGAGAGAGAGAAGTTTTCCTATATACATTACAATATATACAATCTGTTTGTTTAGGGATGGGTACCTTTGACATTTGAATCGATCCGGTACTAATTCCCGGTACCTAGGAATCGATACTGGTACTTAACGGTACCAATTTTCGATACTTTTGAGTGTTTATTATTTTAATTCTCTTTTATAATTAAATATATATTTTTCTCAATATATAACAATATTTGATAAATATCATGATAAATAACATACAACTGTTTGTATTTTGTCATGAACTCCTCCTCTTAACCTCCTCTGCGGGCTGGGCTGGCGCTGCACTCCAGTTCCCAGCATGCCTGTCACCGACGCTTCCCGGTGACGTCATCCCGCTGAGCCTATTTAAGGACCTGTCACAGCGGAGCCGGCACTCAGTCATCATCTAACGATAGACGCCAAGCCATTCTAAGACCTAAGACACTAACTCTACGAACCATACGGGAAGAGAACTTCCCACGCTGCCACATATCAGTCTCCATCCACCATTCTCTCCGCGCCTGGGTCTCATAACCACTCCAGCTCAGCCCATCAAACCTGACAGGAAGGTGGGAGTAATCAACGAGACACAAGGCTGAACTAAACGGGGAGACATGACCGGGTGTGACATATTTTAACATCGTCCTTGTAGTTTTATAAGCTGATAATTAAACTGAAGCAAACATCTTTACTGTGAACTAAATTTACTGTGTATCTTCATTCCTTTTGCCATCCTTTTTCATTTGATTTTTCCTACTGGGAAGTTAGAATTTCCAAGGAGAAAGCGAACGCACCATTAGCTGATAACAATGGTAGCAATGGAAGCTAAGATATCAAGCCAACGTTATCTTAAACAGTTTATTTAGCTGCTGGAGCAGATTAAAACGATGATGCCTCACACTTAGATCGTTGTCACTGGTTTTGTCTTCACCGGTCACATTTAGTAAAGTGAAGCCAAACTTTAGAGCGTGTTCATGTTCTTCTAGTCAGGAATTCGTTGTTCCGAGGAGACAGAGAACGCACCATTAGCGAAACGGAAGCTAACATATCAAGCTAATTATATTTACCTACCGGAGCAGATTAAGATGAGGATGTCTCACTTAGATCACCCAGTTACCCATCACATTTAGTGAAGTGGACCCAAGCTTTAGCCTGCGTTCTTTCTACCATGCTGCTCTGTTTACAACTGGTTCGCAGCGAGCGATGACAAAACGCTCTTGCGCATGTGCAGCTGTCTTGGTAAGTTCTCGTTATGAAGGACGGGTACCGAAACGAGGCACCGTTTGAAATGACGTGAATCAGTGCTCAGTCGGTACTATGGAATTTGGTCGGTACCTTAAAAAGTACCGAATTCGGTACCCAGTCACACACAAACTCTCACTAGTCGGCGCTCTACATGAACGTACAGCTCTAATCACAGATGAACAAGACCGTAAACGGGAAGAAAAACACATCCAAAAGGCCCTCTTAAACTGCAACTATCCACAATAACCAAGGAAATCATTCACTTTGAAAATCCATTCAAAAGATTCGATTCATTCGTGAACGTCACATCACTAGTGAAAAGCCTAATATTGAGCCTATAACATACAGCTGTTATATATACATATATATATATATATATATACATACTTATCTTTCTGAGCTCTATACACTTAAAACTAGCAGCATAGCTGACATTTTAACACTAGACAGAAGGCAGGAACCGCCCCCTCCTCCTTCGCTGCTCTATCATTGGCTGAGAGTTTTCAATCGTCTTCTGCCTAAAAGGAAATATGCACCCACACATATGATACATCAATTCAACCTGCTTGATCCCAGGAGTCTTGTATTAACTTGATATTGTGTTCTGTGTCACCATGGCAACGTGCTTAGCAACAATATTTAACAATATTTTAGACACAACTATATCAACGTACTTTAATATAGAAATGTTATTCAAAGTTTAAAAGAGTCATGTGACATTGTACGTTGCTTTATTAAAGCAGACTCCTGTCATCTGTTACCATGGCAACACAAAGAACTACAAATCACTTTAACCAAGTCTCATAGGAATGAATATAAAAAGCAGAATATTGAGCCAATAACAGACTCCTGTTTTTGATCTTTTTGAACTATCTGTACTTAAAACTAGAAACAAGTTAAATTTGATTGGTGGGAAAGTGCCCCGCTCCCTCCCAGCTCCCTGATTGGTTGAGAGAGGTCAATCATCTTCTGGCTAAATGGAATTACACACCCACACATGTGAGACATCAAATCGATCGGCTTGGCCTAAGGAATCCATCCATCCATCCATCCATCCATCCATCTGTTATTTCATTCATCCAACCATTCATCCATCCCATATCAAGTCTGAACATATGTTAATCTATCAGTTTCAGATATCAGCAAATATTTCTAAATTCACAGTTCAGCCAATTATAAAAATGCACCCATTAAACTATCCTCATTCAAATGCCAGCTGTTTAACATTTCAACTTTTGAGTTTTTAATCAATGGTCAAAGATTAAAGTTTTCTGCTGTTTAGCATTTTTTGTCCATTCTTCACCTATATTCTGAGCTTTATTACACTTGTCGGTGATTTTTGCTTCTAAATCTTTAAATACATTCAGCTCATTTTGACAGTTTAGCTTAGTTTCAGCTTCATTTCAGCTATTCAGCAGCTTCAGCAATCAGTTTCTGAATTCGGCGTATGCTACTCATTTCACAGTTCAACTAAATATAAAAACTAAACATTTTAGCGGTCCAGTTTTTTATACAATGTTCAGAGATTTCAGTTTTCTGCTGTTTAGGATGAGTTTTCTTGATTCTTCACTTACTTTTTGTGCTTTATTTACATTTTGGTGCTTTTTGCTTTCACATCTTTCACTACATTCAGCTCATTTGGCAGTTTAGCTTAGTTTCAGCTTCAGTTCAGCTATTCAACAACTTCAGCAATCAGTTACCAAATTTAGCATAAGCTGCTAATTTCACAGTTCAGCTAAATGTAAAGATTAAAACTGTTAAACTTGTCGAACTGAAATAACAGATGTTTAGACACTTTAGCTGTCCAGATTTTTATACAATGTTCACAGATTTCAGTTTTTTGCCATTTAGGATTATTTTTCTCCATTCTTCACTTACTTTTTGTGCTTTATTTGCTTAGTGATTTTTGCTTCTACATCTTTCAACACATTCAGCTCATTTTGACAGTTTTGCTTACTTTCAGCTTCAGTTCAGCTATTAAGCTGATTCAGCTAAGAGTTTAAGCTATCCAGCATTCAAACAGCATTTCTACAAGAAATGCAGTTTATCTAGTTTTATTCCTCATAGTTGAGGTATACCTATGATGAAAACTGCTGACCTCTCATCTTTTAGGTGGGAGAATCTGCACAAGTGGAGGATGAACACGAGATGCTGAAACCACCCAGTGGTGGGGTGAAATCTATGGTTTTCTCTGCACACAGTTGGACAGCACTAAGCACCAATCGGTTACATACTCATGTAACGTACCAGTGGTCAAATATTCACCCACAAATTGACCAGAAATGAACTTTCATTTGCAGACACAAAAACACCACCTGTCTTGCCCAATACTCTGCTCCAGTCCAGAGACGTAACATCTTTGCTCAAGGCCTCATGGGCACTGCACTTTTACTGAATAAAGTTCTTCTTCCTGAAAGTTCATAAGTGACTTTACAATTTATAGGTTGAAATTATCAAATGTGTTGATTTAACTAGTTAATCTATCAGTACTCATACACATTACAATAAGATAATTAGTAATGTTTAACATCCACTTCACATAAGTGTTTAAAACATTCTCATTTTTACAAAGAGATTAACACATTTGTGTCTGAAGGAAGGAGGGACTTCTGAGGTATTTGGTAAAGCCCTAAAAACGTGTCAAATTCTGATTGGCCAAATTTGTAAAAAAAAAAAGGTTTTAATAAAACAGGAATTACTTCCGGATGAATTCAACGCAGATTGCGTCAGATGGTTTTTATAGATTCTTTAGTTGTGTTCAGCTCCTTCGTCTGCTGATTAGGTTGTGGACGCAGGGCCGGAGTGGGACACATTTTCAGCCCTGGAGTTTCAGACCCCAGACCGGCCCACTTAATGAATTATTATTAAAATCATGTTAGAACTTTATATGTATAGTCTACAAAAGCACACTACTCGGTAAAGCCTTGTAATTCAGTGCAAGAAAGAGTTGCTTTACAATGTAGGTTTATTTGAACATCAGTGCACATCTCCAACATTGTTCTTTACAACACATTCTCTAACAATATAACAATCTACCTTCTGTTCAAACAGCTGTTCTGAGATTTTCAAACCTTTAAAATGAAATGACTCAGCACTCCCTTTCACACTTTTTCCAGTTTCCCTATACTCACCTGCACACAATTAAAATAATCATCTGTAAAGCTTTAGCACATTTGATATGGAAAACACATTTTTTGTAACCAATTAAAATATTTTCTATGGCAAAATATGCAGGCTTATTTCATTTTACTTTCATTCTAATAACTATCTGTTGTGGGCTTTGTGCATTTACTAATAAAAATACAACAGGTCACTACTATTATTTGGACATTAAAATTAACTAATGTTTGCTTGTTTGCACATGAGTTGGCTCACCTTCTATCCCAACAGGAGCAATACCCTCACTGCTGGCTCCTGGCTCTTCTTCTGACACTACATTGTGTGAAAATTGTCACAATTCAGCATTCATTTTCCTTTTTACACGCTTTCTGATCAATGCTGAATCATCTAGCATTTTAGAACACTTTCATATAGAGCCAGGATAGTTTTCATCATATAAATTTTAATAATATTCAGTTCACTGACTCAATAAGTAATCCTACCTGTACATGTCCACTCTGGAATGGTGGGTTTCTGCCTGGTGCTTATTAGGCCTACTGGATCTTGTGGGCTACAAGACAGTTTGGTGGCATCAGTCACATCATACTGTTGACTATATTACATAACGTTATGTCATGACGCCATATAATTCATTATTGATGCTTAATTAACTTGAATGGTGATTTGCAGCCGGTAAAGTTTAACATCTTGACTTGCCTTACCCGTTTTATCTTCATTTGAAGTTAAAGACCGCAAGCTTGTTTGAGAAAAAAAGGTGCTCATTTTTGCACATTTAGCTGCATCTGTTTCCAGCGCTTTCCTCTTTTTAATTCTTGCCTTCTCCGCGCCACCCTTGCTCTTTCTACTTTCCATCTTTCCGTCAACTGCGAGGTCACGTGGTGCGCACAGGCGCATATTGGGCAAAAAGAAAAAAAACGAGCTGCAGCCTGCAGGTAGAGACAGCCGGGAGGAGCGTATGAGATCAGCCCGGCGGCCTCAGTGCCATGACTGAACACCGGCACCAAAAAATAAAAATAAAATGATAAAAAACAAAAACGAGAGCACCGGCCCATGCGGCCCAAACATCGCGCAGCCCACCGGGAATTCTCCAGACCCTCCCGATTAGCCACTCCGGGCCTGTGTGGACGGTGCTTTATAAATAAATGAACTGAACCATGCCAGTGCCATTTTTGTAGTTTTTCTCCGTTGCAGTTCTGATGTTGCAGTTCTAGTCAATGGCTAACCTCGCTGATCGAGCCAATAGTAGACGCTCTCAGGCCACAGGGGAGCATGGCTGGAATGACCTGCAGAGCAAGATGCTTTGCTACTGCTACGGTGTGTGCTAGGCTAGGCTAGGCTAGGCTAGGCTAGGTGGGACTTACATTCCCCATCAAGTTGGGGTGGGGGGTCAGATATTCTCCATGACCAGTGGTATTAGCACATGTACATACAGGTCTGGTATAAAACAGTAACTTTAAGTTTCCGTGGTTCAAGGATTCATTTTTATGTGTTTATGACATCATTTGATTTTTTTCTGATTATATCTCTGCCTGAAAGTGATTTACATGATGTTGAAGGTTTTCATTGTTAGATAATTAGAGAAAACAAATACAGGTGGATTCTCGTTCAACTCAGTCTGAGGGGGCTCTTTTTGATCCTCACAAGTTTAAGGGTTACCTGTATTAGGTGTGAAATGATGGTTCCTTATTCTCTAAAAGTTAAGTCTGAACTACCACCATGTGACTATTGAAGACTTTGTCTTCCTGGAATGAAAATGTGAATTTACAGCTTTTCTTTGAATGGCGTTTCTCTGTGTGATGCACTCATGGGTTTTACTGCTGCATCCTCATCAGCACACCAGGGTGTCGTTGGTTAGTTAGTTTAGTAACCATAACGCAAACCAAAAAGCTGCTAAATGTGCAACATTAATATTTTGAAAGAGTTATTATGCAGATCATATGTGAGTTAATAAACATCAGCTAAAGTTGAAGAATGTAGTTTTATAACCTAATTTATTACAGTAATTAGTGCTTTTTCATGATCAAATACAAACCGGTTAAACTTTAGCCACATACGAGTGTTGAATGTAGCTCTTTAATCTCCACCTCCACAAAACCCTGCAGGATCATTCCTAGAAGAGCCTTGGGTGTTTGATCTGGTGTACAGTCATTTTACTAGAATTAAAAGTCGGAAAGCACCTCAGTCTTTCTAGGGAAGGCTATAAAGGGCTGTGCAGCTCTGACCTTTGTTTTCACACGTGTCTTTGTGCAGAGGAGTTTGCTGTTTCTCACAAGTCCTTTACTAACTAGTGTTGAGGAGCTTTTCTGGACTAGAAAACAAATCTTAATTGTTGCTGGTTGAACTGGACAAAGTTGGTGGGATGAAGGACCAAAACTAAGCTCTCTGCTGGTTTAGCCGGAAGGACCTCTCTGCTTTCAGCGTCCAAAAACAGGTGGGAGACCTTCTCTTAAATTGGTCCTAAATCACACATCAACATCCTATCATTATTAGTTAATTAATTATTAGGTCCAATTTTTAATCATCGCACTGTCTACATTCTTATAGATACATATACCCATACCACGTGCATGTACTCGTACTCATAGAAGTGCTCCAATTGACTGATAATAACTCGATTTTTAAGGCTTTAAGACAAACACTCGGGCAGCTTTTCGTGTCCTCCGTGTTTTACAAGCTCGACTCGGACTTAGCTGGAATCGTTGAGGACTCGAGGATGGTCGTGCCCCTGGATTTGGGATATTCAAGTGTTGAGCATACAGCTCCTCACTGTTCCAAAGATCTGAGTCACAGGACTCTTTAGGGTTCAGACCTGCCACCACCTCAGTGGCTGGTGACCTGTATTGCTGACAGGCAACAAGTCAATCTGGGACTACGAAAACTTGAGATCTTTCTCATCACTTGGCTCAGGGAGCACGTGTTTGTGTGTAAACTGTTTGTGCATTAGCATCTTAAACATAAAGTTATATTCAGACTTTGAAAAGAAACACAAGGAGGACTGCTGCAGGGACTCGTCAGGGTCACTGGGAAAGTGGCAGATCTCAGGAATCCTGACATTTGTGTCAGAAACACTTGGAAAACTTTGAATTTGCAAGAATATTTGTTTAAAGGTACAACCTGAGAGAAGTCTTAAGCCTGATTCATGCTTCTCCGTCTGCGTCAGCGTGGAGACACGCAACGTCCTTGCGGGCCTGCTGGAGAGCTCCGCAAGGACGGACAGAGTCGAGCTCTCTTTTCTAAACATCCGTCAGTCGAGACGGACAACGCAAGCTTGTGATTGGTCAGGACGCCGCTGTCGTTTACACCGCCGCCATTGCACCCTCAAAAACATAAAGAGAGCCGAGGATAACAAGCAGCAGACACGGAGCAGCTTGAAGAATACGTGGCGAAAAAACTCTAAAAACATGTACGTTTAGATCCCCCGTGACTGGAGGAGTGAAAAGATACGCAGCAAGCGTTTTATTTGTGGACGGAAATGACAGGAAACGTAGGTTTAGAGGTGGCGAGCGCATGAAGAGGTGGAGGAGGATGAGAGACAAATATGTCCGTGTTAAAAGTCTCTTATATACAAAAAACACAATATAAACACACTATGTTGGACCGATACGTGACAGGATACCACAGAACAGCGCTACGCCCTCTGCTGTCCTGGCGGGGAATTGCTTTGCAACACTCCCCAGGAGACGGAGAAGCATGAGAGCAAAACGCTTCCGTCAATCCGTGTGTGTCTGTCCCTTGTGGAGCTGACGGAGAAGCATGAACCAGGCTTTAGGTGTTCCAGAAAAATCAACTTAGATGTTTACAGAATGGGAAGGGACCTTCTTTCATGCTGAAGTTGAACAATCACCTAATATTTTATTCAAATGTAAGAGGTCATTTAGGCTGCACAGTGGCGCAGTGGTTAGAGCTGTTGCCCTACAGCGAGAAGGTCCTGGGTTCGCTTCCCGGCCTGGGATCTTTCTGCATGGAGTTTGCATGTTCTCCCTGTGCATGCGTGGGTTCTCTCCGGGTACTCCGGCTTCCTCCCACCGTCCAAAAAACATGACTGTTAGGTTGATTGGTCTGTCTAAATTGTCCTTAGGTGTGTGTGTGTGTGTGTGTGTGTGTGTGTGTGTGTGTGTGTGTGCATGATTGTTTGTCCTGTGTGTCTCTGTGTTGCCCTGCGATGGACTGGCTCTCTGGTGTACCCCGCCTTATTGCCCGTTGACTGCTGGAGATGGGCACCAGCCCCCCCCCCCCCAAACCAAACCGCACACAGAGTGCTCACGTGAATGATTGGAGACAAACGATGAAGAGAAATGCAGATTGTGTTCATGTTAACTTTGTGCAAACTAAAGAACTTTGTGTTTGGCTGAAGGGAACTGGAATACGAGCCAGGTCTGGTTCGACATCCACCACAAAAAAATGGTGGTGTTGAATCAGATGATCAGACCACAGGATCATCACCTCGAGGTCCCCTAAGCTGGACTTGGTTTGCTTCATCTTCCAGTCTAATGAGCTTAAGGTGTATTGTATCTTCTTGGTTTGACAGGGAGATGGTGAACGCCTGGTTTGCTGAGCGGGTCCACAACATCCAGCCGTCTACATCCAAAGAACACCCCTCCCAGCAGCGAGTCCACCAGTCCACTACAGATCTCTCCTCCTCTGCCGCCGTCCTCCCACCCTCTCTCAGCCTCCTGGAGAACCGCTGCCCCTCGCCCGCCTCCATCTCAAGCCCGGCTCCCGGCACCCCAACTCGCAAAATCTCAGCTTCAGAGTTCGACCGCCCACTACGGCCGATCGTGGTGAAGGACTCCGAGGGCTCTTTAACGTTTTTAAGTGACGCGGACCGTGAAACTGTCCCTGTCCGGGGCTCGGTGATGGGTGAGGGTGGTGTAGGTGATGGAGGCTGTAATGGCGGGGAGGGTGACCGATGTGCCCGCTTGCTGGAGCTGGTCAAGGAAGTGTCGAGTCACCTGGATGTGACGGCACTTTGCCACAAGATCTTCCTTCACATCAATGAGCTGATTGCTGCAGATCGCTACTCACTGTTTCTGGTAAGAGCCGGCTGTTGCTTCTTCTCACTGGTTTAACTGGACTCGTCCCACAGACAGAGGATTTAACACACCTGGTTTAACCCTCTGGAGGCAGGTGTTGCAGGTTTGCAACGTTAAAACCTACCTACCTGGTTACTCCACATACGTATTTCACGAGCATTTTTAACTCAGAAGTTCCCCTGAAGGACTTAGTTGTTCATCTTTTTATCAAAACTTATTTTGAGCCTGAGAGGGTTAAGTTGTTCTCAGCCAGGGGCGGCGTTAGGCCCGGCTACTTGGGCTCAAGCCCCGGATGTTTCATGAAAAGCCTCAGATCTAAAACGAGGAAGTAACGTGCAGTACCAAAGTCCAACAGAGAGGGAGCAGCTGGCAGTAGTTTGTATACAGCCTGCCTGAGCCTCCACCACTGAAGAAGAAGCCCTTCAGCAGCCGGCTTCTTCTACACTCTCTGCCTGAAACGCATGAGTGAAGATGGACATAAGGACGTTTTTTAGACCAAAAGTACCGCGACAGAACCCCAGCTTTGATGAGACTGGTGCTGACTCAGGTTTGTGAGTCTTATTTGAAAATATTTGTTGTGCTGCTGGTTTGCCTAAAGTTAGCTTACTATCAGGTAAAGTTGTTGGAGAAAGAACGGGAATATTTACTATCATCTCACACTAAACACTAACAGGAACAATACTCTTCCCTGAAAATGCTTAATGTGTAGCTTCAGATTAAAAATTATGTGGTACAAGACAAATATATATGATGTTGACTAGTGCGTGTCACGTGTGTGTGTGCTCGCGCACGTGACACGCACACATGTTAAGCCCCGGATCTTCTTCAGTCCTAAATCCGCCCTTGTTCTCAGCCAGGGAAGAAACAAACCCAGACTGAAAAAATTAGAATATAATGCCAAAGTCAGTGTATTTCGGTAATCCAGCTTAGACTGAGAGACCATCTAAAGCAGGGATGGGGAACCCTGGCCCGTCGAGGGCCGCTATCCAGCATATTATAGTTTCAACCTGCTTCAACGCACCTGATTTCAATCAGCAGGTGATTAACAGGCTTCTGCAGAGCCTGATGAGTTGCTGAACAGGTGATTCAACCACTGAATCAGAAGTGCCGAGACGTGCAGGACACTGACCCTCGAGGACCAGGGTCCCCACGCCTGACCTAAAGGCTCAGGAACCCTTTGCAGGTGTTTTGATTCATATCAGAGTGACACTTTGAGTCTAGAATGTTGAAACTTTTACAATATTCTAATGGTCTGGAATTTTAAGCGTGGGGTTTTCATAAGCTGTAAGCCATAACCGTCACAGTTATAACAAATAGAGTCTGAGATATGTGGATGTGCATGGAACGAGGCTGTCTGATGCGTTACGTTCACCTTTTAAGGGGGATTACTGGCAAATGAAATGTCCATGTTGTTATTTGAATCTGTGGTGAATAAGTGGCTTCTTTTACAACACAACAGTCACACACATTCACACGCTGGTTGTCACGGCTGCCAGCCTGAAGAGGGGAAAAGCAGCCAGGATCACCCAGCTCTGGTGATTGACTGGACACCGCCCCTCCTCCTCTTCTCTTCCAGGCTGCTGAGGAGCACAGCTGAACTGAATCCTCCTGATGAGCCACACCTAGGATAAAAAGGCTGTGCCTTCAGCAGTTTGGGAGACGGATTGGATTGAGCAAAATAGATTTAGAAATTGTATAGTATGTACGGATTCTTTATCAGTTTTGTTGGCACTTCATTCAAGAAGTAATGAAAATAGAGTTGATATTTTTCTAGAAATATTTGAATGCCTATTTCGGTTGTGTGCCTTAGGGATTGAAATAAGATTTATGTGGGTACCGGCGCACAGGGGGATAGAAGGGAATGAATTAGCAGATTATTACGCAAAGCAAGCAGTAAAGTTAGAAGTAGTGAAACCGATCCCTTTTAGCAGTAACGAAGTGAAGTCAATGATTAAGGATAGAATTATGAATGAATGGCAGGACATGTGGGTAAGGGATAAAAAGGGCAGACATTTATTTAATATTCAGAACGTAGTAGGTAAAATGTCGATTAAGGAGTTACATAATAGGGAACAAACAATAATAACGAGATTGAGATTAGGACATTCGGGATTAAACAGCACTTTGCATATTTTGGGTAAACATCTAACAGGTTTTTGTGATTGTGGGACAGAACAGGAAACGGTAGAACATGTTTTGTGTTTTTGTAGTAAGTTTGATGTAATTAGGGGTGAATTTTTAGATAGGTTGAGAGATAAAGGATATGATGTTTGGAATTTGAGAACGTTGTTGAATGGCAATAAGTCCAATTATAAGTTGGTGCTAGAGTTTCTTAGGAAAATTAAGGTATTTAATAGAATTTTTATTTATTTATTTATTTTTTTAAATTAATTAATTAATTTATTTTTTATTTTTTATTTATTTATTTATTTATTTTTCTCTCCTCGCTCTGACTCACACTCCTGCACAGTAGGTGGCGGTAATGCACCTTAAGTTAGTTGCCACCCGCCATTTAACCGGAAATGAAGAAGAAGAAGAAGAAGAAGATGAAGTCTGGGAGACAGCAGTGCAGGGGTTCTGCTGTTCTCCATGATTTGTTTTATTTTAACCCCTTCGTTCGTTCGAGCCTTCGTTTTGATGAGTTTAACTTTTATAGTTGAAACTCTTGAGCGATCTTGTGTTCGTTGGTTTTTAAGGTTAACTTCGTTTGTTGCAATTTTATTGACTTCGTTTTTAAAACACCTTCTGTTCCGGTAAAACTTTTAACATAAGTTTTAACCAGGTGTTTTATGTCAATGAATTGTTTTAGAACTTTTATCAACTTTGTAGATTTAGAAACACCTTCTGTTTTGGTGAAACTTTTAATAAGTTTTAACCAGGTGTTTTTAATGTTGGCAACTGCTCTTTTAATGTTAACCTTTTTGAGTATTTTTGTTCAGCATTATTTTAATAATGCTCGCCATCTGTTTGCTTGTGTTTTTAACTACCTTTTTGTACAAATAAGCCCAGTTTAAACTCCGCCGCCAGTTTTTATGCTAATCCCATCCTTCACATTTTACCAACTCATGTCGGGGACGTAACACTGGTTGTGATGAGCTACACTGTAGCCACGGCATTCCTGTGGCACACTGGCTGAGCACAGGCGCCACTGGAGGGTTGAGTGCCTTGCCCGAGGACACAATGACAGACTTGAGTGGGACGTGGACTTACAACCCTCCGGTTATGGGGTGGGCACTTGTACTAATCCTCACTAATTACTCCACAGAGCTCTTTGTGGAATTTCTCAGAAGCAGAAAACTCTGCCGGTGTGGAGGAAAAACCACAGATGTCACCTTGAGTCATCTTCTAAAAACCAGTAATGAGGGTTCCCAGCATTACAGATCCCAGCGCCCAAACCTTTTCATGGAATAATAAAACACACCGCAGGTCCGCGGAAACTTTCAATCATTTACCACTACGCCTGTTGTTTGGATGGCACATTATGAGGCTGTGAAGGAGGGTTGTGTTTAACTAGGACACACACTTACACACACATGGTCTGAGATTCAAGCGCTGGTTTAAACGAGATGATGGCTGCAGAGCAAACAGGTGCTTGATGTTCTCGCTGGTTGCCAAAGGATAAAATGTCATTAAAACAAACTTTAATCTGCGTTTGATTGTTATTTATAAAGTAAAGCAGTGTTCTTCCTGTTAAACAGTGATGAAATCTGCTGAGCATTTTCCTTGTCAGCCTGTAGTAAAGGGTACGTTTTATCTTTAAAGAGGACATAATGAGCTTAGGGATGGGTACCTTTGACATTTGAATCGAGTCGGTACTAATTCCCAGTACCTAGGAATCGATACCGGTACTTAACGGTACCAATTTTCGATACTTTTGAGTGTTTAATATTTTAATTCTCTTTTATAATTAAATATATTTTTTTCTGAATTTATAACCGTATTTGATAAATATCACGATAAATAACATACAACAGTTTGTATTTTAACATCGTCCTTGTAGTTTTATAAGCTGATAATTAAACTGAAGCAAACATCTTTACTGTGAACTAAATTTACTGTGTATCTTCATTCCTTTTGCCGTCCTTTTTCATTTGATTTTTCCTACTGGGAAGTTAGAATTTCCGAGGAGAAAGCGAACGCACCATTAGCTGATAACAATGGTGGCAATGGAAGCTAACATATCAAGCTAACGTTATCTTAAACAGTTTCTTTAGCTGCTGGAGCAGATTAAAACGATGATGCCTCACACTTAGATCGTTGTCGCTGGTTTCATCTTCACCCGTCGCATTTAGTAAAGTGAAGCCAAACTTTAGAGCGCGTTCATGTTCTTCCAGTGGGAAATTCGGAGTTCCGAGGAGAAAACGAACGCACCATTAGCGAAACGGAAGCTAATATATCAAGCTAACGTTATCTTAAACATTTTATTTACCTACCGGAGCAGATTAAGATGAGGATGTCTCACTTAGATCGTTGTCGCTGGTTTCATCATCACCCAGTTACCCATCACATTTAGTGAAGTGGACCCAAGCTTTAGCGTGCGTTCTTTCTACCATGCTGCTCTGTTTACAACTGGCTCGCAGCGAGCGACGACATAACGCTCTTGCGCATGCGCAGCTGTCTAGGCAAGTTCTCGTTATGAAGGACGGGTACCAAAACGAGGCACCGTTTCAAATGACGTGAATCGGTGCTCAGTCGGTACTATGGAATTCGGTCGCTACCTTAAAAAGTACCGAATTCGGTACCCATCGCTACACGTTTTATTAACATGCCAAACACAAATAATCTGTCTGTGTTTGGTTTCGGTAATCACATTCTTCTATGAGTCTTTAATATGTCCCCTTTTGTGACATCATAGTCAAGAAAATTAGCATAGAACCACCCCTCACCTGTTCACATTCAAGGAACCTTCAGCTCTGGACGTGGAGGAAGAGCATCTCTACTCCACACCTCTCCTGGATATCTGAGCTCCTCACCTCGTAGCAGCCAATCGGGGAATTGGTGGGTGTGACTAGTAGCAGCTTATTAGCATTAAAGCTTTCCTTCACTTGTTGTGCCAATACATTTACTTTAGTTTCTAGTATCAATGACTGCCTTACAAGATGTTCTCTGGAGGAAAAAAGCTTTGGCGCTCCTGTTTCAGGAAGCAGAAGTTAGTCAGAGGTGAACAATTAAAAAGGGTTTGTTAGTGAAATTGTTTTTTAAAGGTCAACTTTATTAAAAATACATTTTTTAACTGCACTTATTTGTGTTCACTCGTTAAACAGGAAAACCTGACAATAAAAAACATATTTAAATTATTATTTTTGATCATAATCAGTCACTGTGAAGGTTTCATGCAGGTTGAACATAAAATAGTCTCCTACACCTATCTCCTGCAGTAGCTTCTGATAGAAAACAGACGGTGAAACTCTAGGATGAGAACATCCTGACAGATCTACGTCACACTGTCATTAACAGTCATGGACTCACCCATCTGGACTCACGACGGGGAAGGCTGTTGTTGGTTTAGCGTCCAGGAAACAGCAGAGAACGTCCTGCTAGTAGAAGCTAACTGTTAGCATTAGCAACTCCACCACACAGCAGAACTCTTCAGGCTTGTGTTATTGGTGGAGATAAAACATACAGTCACGTTGTTAGCCAATCCTCCCAATCCTGTCATGTTTTGCCACTTTTTTCCTTCAGATGAATTTTACGTCCTCACACAAGCGCACCGGAGCTTTTTTTCCCCCAGAGGATGACTTACAAGACGTCCATTCCTACTAGAGACCCCTCTGTGATTAAAGTTTACCTTTAAAGTGACAGAACCCTGAAACATTGATGTAAGACCACTTTCAAAA